TCCCTTTGATTGTCTCTTACATCAGAAAAAAAGTTCCATGTTCTCATAGACTTGATAATAATACCAAGTTTGAGTAAACAACCTCCATCTCGTTTAAGAGAAACACCAGCCAGACATATTGAGAAAAGTAAATTCTCAACACAAAGATGTCAATACATTATATCTGAAATTTCTACAAGGTCTTCCAACTCCAAAACAACAGGAACTCCCCCTACTTCCAACAGAAATTATTCCATTACAACAAGATAGACACATGCAAGCTTCCATAAATCTGGATCCTTTGACCAGAATTATCTTTTGAACTACCTTCATACATAAATAATCTGAGGCCTTTAACAAAATTATCTACTAGAGAATAAAGCTTAGGTTCTGCACTCCTATATACTTTGATCAAAAATAAATTAACCCAAGGAGTAAGTAAGATGTTAACCATATCTTGACCAACACACTTATCTAAGACATGTTTCTAAGATAAAAACTTCTTAGACACACAACCAAGATGCCTCATCTTCAAATTCAGGAGAAGGTTCTAAGCATATGTGATCAACACACATTTGTTTAGCACCCAAAGCATATGCAATACCATTCCTTTAGCCACCAGAAATCTTCATAACTTGCTGATGTGATGTTCTAACATCTAGTATGACATCATTCCAAGGGACATAACAAGAGATCCTTTATCAAAGACCAGAGATTGGTCTTTTAGGGTTGGAAGAAAAAATAAACTGTTTCTTACTTTCTTTAGATCTATTTTCAACAAACTCATTTAAAAGTGCCTTTATGAATGGACTTGAGGTGAACCTCAAGTATCTTTGGTAACTTTAGCAAGCTGGTTGAAGCTATCCTCCAAGTATCAAAACACCATAGAATACAACTTCGGAGAGGAACAAATCACAAAGCTCTTCCTTATAATATTACAAGGGCAAACCTCCCTCAACCTCAACACCAGAGCCATATGAAACCATCAGGAGTTTTCAGACATATACGCAGTGGATCACACATTAACAACTCCTCGAGACCCTTTAAGGCAGAACAAGATAACCCTTGCACATAATCACCATAATTCAGGTGATAAAAGAACACCAGAGGTTTGAAAATAAATCAAATACAACACAACGGCTCACCATCAAAGCTACATGTCTGACAACTTCAGACATGTCCAATACTCACCCTGTCACAAATAGTTAATGATCGTTCTCAAGGGATCATGCCAGAATAATATGAGTTGTCTGCATTCACACTATAAAGGCATAATCAGCTATAACCAACACTTTGCTCCTTCAAGTCCAATACACCAAAAAGTATCTTCCCTATATCTCACCCAAAATAGAACATAATGCCTGCTCTGATACCAATTAAAATTCTAGTATAAAGATGACAATATCCTAACACATGTTGAGACAAAGATCTATGTGTAACAACACTTGGACTGAATAAAGCACACTGATATAATTCATATCAGAACAGAGTCATGACAGATGTTCCAACATCTTATATGACATGTTAATCAATTAAGAAACAAAACTGAACAATGTATAATGATAATAACACAAAGATATGATGACCCAGTTCGATGTACAACAACACTTACTCCGGGGGCTACCAAGCCAGGAAGAAAGTCCACTATGAATAGTATTATTTTAAAGCTAAACTCCCCTGTTTACAACTTCTCGCTTAATCCCTACTCAATGACACTTCTACTTAGGTCCTCCCTAAATATGAGAAATTGCCATCTCACTTTCTAAATTACCTCAGTGATATCTAACAATCACAATGTTCAACCAAGACTCTTGACTAACAAACACACTTATATTTGCTTCAAAGATTCATCCAAGAACAATAATCAACTATATGCTTAAAAGCTTAAGAGAGATTGACACACAAACATTCAATGCTTACAAGCTTATGAATGAATGACAAAACCTTACAAATCAAGGAACAACCATACTCTTCTATCAACATGATAGCCGAGAGGCTCATAAATAACACATACCAACTCTCCTAGAGAGTGGCACACAAATGAAGCCTTAATAGATTACATCTTTACATTCACGACTCTCTCTACTTTTAGGTTAACAACCTTCTATTTGTAAACCTTTACTCAACTAGATCTTGGGCTTCAAATTACAGCATATCAACTGCTACAAATCTGCAAAATCTTCTACATAAAGACATGTCTTCAATTATGACTTTCCTAATTTATCTCCATAATTAGAAAGTCAATATTCTTCTTGATTTCAGCTTGAATCTTCCAGACCTTAAAATCAACGTCACATAGGATAACATAATATTCAAGAATATTATGTTTTTGTAATAACCAGAACTAATCCAGCTATCCAACTGATCATAGGCACAATGTCAAATGACTCTGCATAGGACATCTTATCCGACATGTTGCTTTAGTTAATGAAACATCTCAACTCAACATGTTTCTTAATAAAATAGGAGTTCTTGCTCAACATGTTTTTCTCAACAAGTTATAACTTCCTATTTAACATACTTATGTCATATTTGTTTTACTAAAATTAACGTCAATCACAAAAACAGAGAACTAATAATTTGTATGAGTAAATTATCTCATCTTATTTCTTATAGTGTGGAGCAAGACTTTTGAAAAACTATAAAGACAAATAGAAATTGTCCTCTTATATCTCACTTGATGTTTGCATATTATCTTTTATTTTTTGGTCAAGCTACAGAGATTTAAATGTAGTGTGTGCTTGATATTGTCTATCAATTTTTCCTCTTGTCTAGTTAGCAAGTGAATATTGATAAAATAAACATTCTTTTCTCTAAAAACACTTCAATGCATGTTCTTTGTAAGTTGGTGGCTATGTTTGGATTTCGTGAGGCATAATCGCTTGGAAAATATCTAGGTGTCAATCTCCTTGGTAGAACACCAATAAGATATAATTTTAAATATAGTCTGGAGCAAGTTAAATCAAAATTGATCTCTTGAAAAGCTCAAAATATTTTGTGTAGGTCTGGTAACTCTCTCTAAAGTTGTTATTAAAGTCTTCCCTATCTAAACTATGATAACTACTAGCATTCCTAAAACTTGTTTGCATGAGATTTAAAAGTTTCAATGTTCTTTTATTCGGGGTGATAACGAGAAGCATATATGAGTTCATTAGGTGAAGTGGGATTTGATGACATTGCCAAAATTCTTAGGTGGATTGTGTATTAGACGATTGAATGTTATGAATAATGTTTTTCTTTTGAAGCTTGGTTAGACCATTCGAAGTAATGAATAATCTTTTTGCTGTGAAGTTATGTGTGCCAAATATATGAATAACAATGTTGGTTATGAGACCATGATTGTTTAGGCAAATGATTCTACTTTGTGGAAGAATCTCTAATTTTTGGCCGAAGTTTGCTTAGTTTTCATATTGGTTTATAGGAGATGGTGCCAATATAAATATTTGCTCTCATTGTTGGGTAGAAGCAGGAATGAAGTTGATGGATATTAATACAGATGGTGTCAATACAATTTCTTATCAACATTTGGAGGACTCATTGGATGAATATGGTCAATGGAATATGCATCTTTTAAAGCATATGTTTCAACAAAATGTGGCAACTAAAATTCTAGCTATTTTCCCCTGCGATGGTAATAGTGGAAGAGATGTTTGTTGTTGGCCAAACGATAAAAAATGTGAGTATACCATTTCATCAAGTTGTAAATTAATGTCTAATTTTAGTAGACAAAATGGCGAGGATAGTTGAAGGTTGATATGGAAGCTTAAAGTCCCTAACGAGTAAAGGCCTTTATTTGGTTGATGTATCATGGTAGAATAATGACCAACGAGAGGAAAAATAAAATGCATCCCTTTGTAGTCATTATGGAATAAATGTAGAATCTATTATACATGTCTGGCGTGACTGTCCTTTGACTTTTGCTATTTAAACTAACGTGTTTATATTGGATACATGAGGCGCTTTTTTCACTAGTAATATTAAGGAGTGACTGAATATTAATTTGTGTTTAAATTTTGATATTAGTGGAGATCCGCCGTGGACGAAACTTTGGGCAACCTCTTACCATGCACTTTGGATGTGGAGAAATAAAAAATAACATGATGAAAATTTTTTGGGACCTATAATTTCATGGAGGCATGTTACTAAAGTTGCACATGACTATTTTTTGGAAGCAGAGCTACATGGTAGTAACATCGATTTGGCTCGAGAGGCTAAGTAAATAAGATGAACTCCTCCTTCAGTTGGGTGAGATTGAATACATATTGAGATAGTAAGAATGTATTCATAGCTGAATAAGAGTAACTTGGATGCTTCGTAAGATATTTGGATTCTTATAGTGTATATATTGTTGAACTTTAGGATGTGTTAGAAGAATTAAAATTAGCAAAAGAGTTTGGTTTCGAGTTATTGAGTTTCATATATATTTCAAAGTGGTTGCTCAAAATATTTTAGATTATAGGCATTGTAGTATAATTGAAATGCGATTGCTATAATAAATTCAAAAAGTTTGTCATATTTAATATTCGGTGAATTCTTATGTACCCAACACAAAAAATTGGATAGAGTTATCCTTAGAATAAAATGCATTGAAAACAATCAAAAATATGTCATTTAATAAATGATTAAATAAGATAAAATTAAATGTTATAATTTGATTGGTGGAATGTACAATATCTAACTTTTTTGATGAGTAGTTGCCTCCTTAGTATTTTTAGATACATAAACAAATATTGATTACTAGTTAAGAGTATTGACAGCTCATTTCCTTTATGAGGAGTTAATTTCTAAATTGTAGTATAACTAAACCCACACGTGCAACCATTCTCAGCCCATAAACATATTGGTGGTCGCATCACACTCAGTATCGTTCTGGATTCATTCATCTTACAAGTAACTAAAGCCGTCAAAAACCCCCCAATTGAATCCTATTCGATCCATTTTAACCTTTGTATCACCTCTATCTCCTTTTACTTCTCCCCTTCACTTTCAACGTCAAAATTCATTCCCACCTTCTCAACAACATGTCTGGTATACCTCTCTTTCATAGCTTCCATGTTTTTTTGATGCTGTAACTTCTTGATTAATCCATTACCAGAATCGCTTTTGCAGATTTCTCGCATGTTTATTATCACTATTTAGGGTTTTGCGTAGTAGTTCTGATTGTATTGTAGGGAGGGATTTATCCTATGTTACGCCAATATTATTCTCTTCCTAGGTAGCTTTGAAGAAGACGCTAAACTTATTGTTGCTTTTGATGTCAGATAATGAAGAACCGAATATCATAGCGGGGACGAGTTCTGAACTACCGTTTTACGGATACAAGCGATGGCAGTGGTGGTCTTTGGTGGCACTCAGCATACTTTTTCTTATTATGGGACAATCTGTTGCAGTTATACTCGGAAGATTTTATTACGACCAAGGTGGAAACAGTACATGGATGGCTACTTTAGTTCAAACTATTGCTTTTCCGTTGTTGTTAATTCCGTTCTTCACAATTCCTTCTCCCCCGGAAGCTTCAACTTCTTCTGTTCCACCATCCGTTAAACTCGTTGTTTTGATATATTTTGTTCTTGGAATCGCGATTGCTGCTGATAATATGATGTATTCGCAAGGACTTTTGTATCTCTCTGCTTCCACCTATGCACTGATTTGTGCATCTCAGTTAGCTTTCAATGCAGTTTTCTCGTATTTTCTCAACTCGCAAAAGTTCACTGTTTTGATCATAAACTCGACTGTTATACTCACTTTATCTTCTTCATTACTTGCTGTCAATGAAGATGCGGATGCTCCATCTGGTATCCCCAAGGGAAAATATGTTATTGGCTTCCTTTGTACTCTTGGAGCTTCTGCGCTCTACTCGCTGTTGCTTTCCCTCATGCAATTGACGTTTGAGAAGGTTCTGAAAAAGGAAACATTTTCTGTTGTTTTGGAAATGCAAATCTATACTTCACTTGTTGCGACTTGTGCTTCCGCAATAGGTCTATTTGCGAGCGGGGAATGGCATACTTTGCATGGAGAAATGAAGGGTTTTCAGAAAGGAGAAGTTGCTTACATAATGACTTTGGTTTGGACAGCAATAGCGTGGCAGGTTTGTTCTGTTGGTGTGGTTGGCTTGATTTTCCTAGTGTCTTCTCTCTACTCTAATGTTATAAGTACTGTATCTCTGGCTATTACTCCTATTGCTGCCGTGATAGTTTTTCATGATAAGATGAATGGGGTGAAGATAATTTCCATGCTTTTGGCTTTATGGGGCTTTGCTTCATATATCTATCAGAATTATCTCGATGATTTAAAGGCAAGACGTGCACGGGCTGTTGCTTCTAAGCCTCATGACGAATCTTCATGTTGAGAATATTTAATTTTGGCAACATCTAAACATTTGTTCACATACCCTTTTCTTTCTGGTTTTAAATCCTTAGGTGCAGCAAACTGCTAGCTTTAGAGTTTATTTCTTCTTAAGTCCTACAGAAATAGTGAACTTCTAAAGATATGAGGTTCTTGGCCATTCTCAAATGTGAATTGTATATTTTTTAAAATAAATGAAAAGGTTAATTAGTGTATCAGTTGAACAAAATTCTCTGCTAGTTTGTTTCCAAATATTTGTTTGATGGCTTTTGTTATAAATTGAATAATCTCGGGGTGATTATTGGAATTCTTGTTATTATTGTTATTTTATTATTGCTTTACTTTACTTTCATTTTTTCTGTTTTATTTTTATATTTTAATCACTTGTCAATATTTTTTTTAATGTAATGATCATCCAATTATGTATACCGAAAAGAACTTATAAAAAAAAGTTGAAATAATCAATGTCGTTTGATGAAGAGAAACAAACAACTCCCAGTAGGATATTATACTCCATTATGTATTGTCTCAACTATGTGCGTCTTTTTTATCAAATGTCTCCGGATGAATAGATACAAAGATTCATTGAAGAATATGTCAGTTAGTGAACACCGCAAAGAGGCACACCCTTTGGAACATGAAAAATTGTGTTCATATTCTGCAAATGTCAGGCACTGGACATGAGAGCCCGATCGCTCATTTCATGAATTTTGACAGAAGACAGTGAGCTACATCTGCACCGCAGGTGTTGGAATTGGGCGATGGACATGAGATCCTGAGCGCTAATTTCATGAATTTTGACAGCAGACAGGGTGTTACATCTTTACCGCTGGTCCTGGTCTTGGACGCTCCACTCCCAATACCGATGCCATATTTGGGTGGATATTTAATCTGGGGGTTGGCTTCTGAATTCTTTCTTACTTTGTCTTTAACTTTGGTATATTTGGACCTATTAATTTTGGAAATCCTAACAGGAATTCAAGAAATATGTTTTATGGTATTTTTTTAATTTGTTGAATACTGTTGAGCTTGCCAGAGTAGATCATAGTCTGCATCACATGTTCTGGAATGTGATTAATCTCATATTTCATAAAACAGTACCCGATACTTGATTCGGTAGTATGCTTTCCGGAATACTATCAGGGAAGGGGATTTGATTCAGATTCCTTGGTTAAATTAGGTGTTAGGAATTCCTTGGTTAAATTAGGTGTCAGGAATGTTGATAGTTTCATTTGATGCTCCTCAGGCGACAACACCAGAGATGTTTAGTCTTCTTCTTGCTCATGCAATGGGATTGACTTTCATTATATGCAAAAAAGTAGTTGCAAAGAATTAAGCAGACAAAGTTCTAATATGATGATATGAATATGGATTACAACATTGCTAACTTAATAGATACGAACAGGAACTTAAAAGAAAATCCAACAGATCTCACAGCAGAGGTACTTCTTACAGCTGCTAATTGCAAACATAGATTTTAGAAAAAACACTCATATTTAAAATAAAAACACACACACACACATATAATTGTTTGAGCTGACAACTTATTAGCATCTTTACTCATATCACTTCATTTGGTGGTTGCTTTTCTCCAAAAGCATACCACCCCATGAAAACTCCACCGATTAATGTAACAAAAACTTCGATGATTGAGTTAGCTGATTGAAGATGCATCAAAACGACCCAATTGATAAGCATAACTTTCTGCGTTCGAGTGAATACCGCACCAACAAGAATCATTGCAGCTACAGCACAAACAAGCACCATAAAACCGAACAACCCGAGCAAGGACAGCCAGATGGAAATGTGGTGATCGTGTTCTTTTTGCAGTGGCTGAACATTGATAACTGATAATAGGCTGCTCCATATGTTGTAGAAAATAACTAGTAAGACAGTAGTTGAGACTACAAATGATGAAATACATCCCACGATTTCCTTACGTATCTGCTGATTGTATTTATAAGTATAGTCATCCTGAAGCTTTGTGTCTCTTGGTACGAATGTATTGTACCAATGCAGTTCCGAAGTCTATTTGTGCTGCCAATCCAAACCACAGCCAGGAGCAACACATGATTCATTATTATCCAGGTGAGAGGACTTGTTTCCAGTAATGCAATTTTGCTTCACTTTTTTCAAGCAAGTTCTTACGATCTTACTTCCAACGAATGCTGTAAAACTGATTGGCGAACACTCTTTTAAAGCACTCAGGAAATCAAACTGCATCGCGTGAAACAACATAAAAAAATAATAATCGCATTTCATATATCATATTTGATTGTAAGCCAGATTATGCTACTCTGCATCTTTAGATTGAAAAGTTCACATAGCATAGAACTACTAATGGAATGATAAATCTCATATCAGTATCAGAATCATTAAACATCACAAGAAAAATAAAAGTAAGATATTCGAGACAAAACAATTAGAATAGGAGGTAAATAAGATAAGTTACCGAATAATCTTCATTGTAGGAAGAATGGTTATGAGAAAGACGAGCTGCTTGGTGAAGGGGTGAATCGATGCTACTACAAATCAGTTAGTCATCGTCTTCAAGCTTGTTGTCATGTAGAGTTTGAAGAACCATCTTGAGCATAAAAGATGAAATTGAGCTGGATCAACGCAGAGTTAACACACGTTGATGGGAACACTATGAAGGGAATTTCAGTGCAAGACAAATGTGGATATTTTGTTGTTTATGTTTACATGATGAAGGAAATTTCAGTGTAAGACAAATGTGGATTTTGTTGTTTATGTGAACATGATGAAGGAAATTTCAGTGTAAGACAAATGTGGATATCTTGCTGTAGTCTGTAGCAGGTGAGAGACTGAGACTAGAGAGTGACAGGTAACGCTGAAATTGTGGTTTTAGAAATTTCTGCTACATTTCCTCTGTATTCATACTGATCTCTATCTACTTCTGTTCTGTTGTGAGAGTTAAGAAACAACGCTAATACAAGCTAAGAGAATATAATCTCTTAAAAATCAAAATGGAAAAACTGGATGAAAGAAACAACATCATGGAAGAAAAAACATTTTCTGTCTTGTCAGATTCTGCAGGGATAGAAAAAGTTGCTTCTGAATCGACACCTCCGGAGAGTCCTCCATGTTGTTTATTCCTGTGCTCTTTCTGATTGATAATATACTACTACTAATGTTCATCGTAATGCAACCGTAGTAGATCCAAACAAGCCAGATAAAAATTTTTCACCATAAATCTAGATGCATTACATGCCTTTGATATTTTGTTAAGCTAGTTATCAATTACATTTGAAGCATATAGTTTATAATGCACCTAAATTTGCAATAATTTGATTTCATGGTTCTCTGTGAATATAGTTCTATGACTGTTGGGCTATGAGTCAATGGATGAGAAATCATATGCATGCACTTTCCGGGAGAAAGGTAAAGGTAAATATAGTTGTCTGTCTCTTACTATAAAATTGAAAAATGTTTTATGGACAGCAACATCGATTCTAAGAAATATGAACTGTGCACGTCTATGTTACTTGATTCTATATATCATAGGAATTGGAATTTTTCAAATAATAAGACGAGATAACATGAAATTAACCTTGATAAAATGCATTCCATTTGAAACTATACATATTCATTGAGTTTCTTGCATTTATGTCAGGCAGAGGGAGAAAACACTCTTCCCCTATCACGGAATGATTTGAAAAATGCTCTGCTCGAAGAAAAAACCGTAAGCGTTTTTTACCCTTTGCAATTGAGAGTGTGCTTGATATTTCTCCACAACAACATGGGATTTTACTAACATCCTGTGGTGGCCTCCTAAGTTACCTAGCAAAAAACTCTAGCACTCCATTTGAATTCCAGTTTGGAAAAACCACAGACACACCAGTACCGTCGCTATTAAGCTTTGAGGATGCAGTTTTTGCTTTCTTCCCAGAAATGGCACATATTGCAACGTTCATGATATTCTATATTCTGACTTGGATGCTGGTTTTGCCACTACACTTTGTAGTGCAGTTATTTTTGGTGTTACTATTGATTTCTGCACCCGTCTTTTATTTTCCCGAGCTGGTACGAAAGGCGTCAGCCTCAGGGGTTCACGTGGCTTGCGGCGGCTCATTGAAGCTGCCTCTGATTGGATTTTCTACTTTAGGGGCTTTTGGCATTGCCTTTCTTTTTGGGTTAGTGGCATTGTTAGTGTTTTATTTGATTTGGAGGTTCGTATATGGAAGGAAACCAACAAGAGGTAAAGATATTGAGGTTAGCTTGGATGACTTGTTGTCTCTGATATCAAACGTTTGAGTGACCTATTATAGTTTTTGTGTAGAGAATATTTCTTAAACATATTGTCTTCTGGTTTTTGTATGTAAATGCATCTCTAATGAGAAAACCGAAAAATCTTTTTAGGTTGCGTTATAAATATTACAAAATTGGGTAGGAGTGTGTCGCGCGCGCAATCTCCGCCGTCGAAGACGTAGTAGATATGAACTAAATTGCGACAATGATGATGTAAAGAAATGTAGCGGTAAAGATTTGAGATTAAGCCATCAATTGACTTATTTCAACACAATGAAGTCGCCACCTCACTTTATTGTTTTCAAAGGGAAATGGTAAAAAAACGAACAAAACCCACAATAAAATAAAAGATCAGAGATCGAGATACGGGGGTCGGTTATGTAAAGGGAAGATGTTAGCACCCTAAGCATCTACGGTACTCCGCAGGATCCACTTTGTTTAGTTTCTTTTAAAATGAGTCTTATGTAAAGATTTACTTGCTAAAGGAAAAGAATGAATGAGTATTTGTAAACAAAAGAAAATGTTTTTATTATTATTTTTGTTGCTTGTCTTGGGTCGTAAGACTTAGTGCCTACGTATTCCCTCGTGCAATGGGAAAGTCAGAGCACCGTAGTTCGGCTAGAAAAGACTTGTATGTTGATTGATTTTAAACGAAGAGACAAGTCGTCATTGTTAGGAGAGAAATCTCGACTAACGCCCACAAGGTGTGGGAAAGATGGACCCTGCGTCAGCAAGAGTGAGAGTTTGGGAACACCTTTAGTACTCAAGTGGAAAAGTCGACACCTTTATAACCACGGGGATAGGAGAATGTTGCTCGACTATCAATGAATCATGTCTCATCTTGAAAAAGGGTTTTGAAGGGATGAAAGTGCTCGAGCGCACAAAAAGGTTTGAATGAGTTAAAGTATTTTTGTTAATTTTGGAAAGATGTCAAAGTATGATTAAATGAATTAAAGTTTGTTTAAAGAAAAGGCACTCGACGAAGTCGAGATTTATTATGAAAGCAGTTCGAGTTTTAAAAATGAGAAGTATTTTCAAAAGGAGGAAGAAGATTTTTGAAATTAAAGAAGATGGAAGGAGATGAAGGGACTATCCTAAAACATAAAGTAAAAGCTAATGAAGAGAACCGTCTAACTAACAAGAAGCCAACACTTGACATTATGAGTCAAGATAGAACTCTCATTCTTTGGATTGAAACCAAACAAGATACTAAACCTCTTGAGAAAACCAAACTTTAAATGCATTAAGTCTTCACAAAAATTGAGCAGAGTAACGGTTGTATACAGATGGATTCCAGATTACAGACAAAGTATGTAATCACAATGACCTGCACACAAAACAAACAAATAATCCAATGTCTTGAGGTAAACCTCAAGAGCTCCAGACAAAATATCAATTAAGGTCACAAGGTCTCTAATCCTAAGTCCAAGAAGTCCAATGCTCCATAGTGTCAAGGATAATAACTGTTCTGGACTGGGCCCGTCCTGGCCCAAAGCGCAGATAAAGGCCTAACCCAAGCAAACTCTTCGAGGAATGTGCACCCGCAGATCACCACCGACGTGCCTGACTACAGAATGTAGCCATGCCCGCCATTGCCCGTGACACATGGTGTCCCCGACCAAGGGAACTCCATCTCGAGTCCTGCTCGATCACCCTCCCCGTAGGGCAGATTCTGTCTTCTCTGACCGTTATCGAATCATCTAAACTCTGGAAAGACCGCGTCTTTGTCCCTCCTCATTTTTCGCAGAGCATCACCAGGAAGGGGACCACGTGCGGAGCCCCACTACACACGTAGAACCTGGAAATTCCTTTATTGGGCCAGTTCTGGTCGGTCCAATGAGGGGACCTTGACCCAGCGCTGGGGGCTATAAATACCTTCTGTTCCTAGAGGGTCGGGTATTCATCTATTACGCACCTATACCTTTTTTGCCTGCTCATTCCGTCACTCATTTTAGCATCAGAGTGTATTGCAGGTACCCCCCTATCTCACTCAAATTCTGCCTGAGCCAGTCGTGACGGTCCAAGTTTGATCAGGTAAGATCAGTAACCAAGTAGTCCAAGTATCATTAATGCTTTTTATGGTTCATGTTGATTATTAAGTGTCTTTAAACGGAAAAGAAAAGGCTCAAGTGAGCAAAATAAAAGTGACATAAAAGTAAATGCTCAAGTGAGCAAAGATGAAAATAGCATGAAATGTAACTGCTAAAGTAAAGTGGCGCATAAAGTAAAGGCATAAAAATAAAAAGCATAAATTAAAGTCAATTGTTAGAAGTTAATGGTTAGTTAGATGACCATCTTGAAACTTGCATTTGGAACTCATTAGAAGATTGGTATAACCAAAGCCTCTCACCAACAAGTTGCATTTGCTTTTTATCAAGTATATCATCCATTTTAAGAAACCTCAAGGCAACATTTAATGATCAATGATGTTTAAGTGATCCGTGTTGACCAAAATTGATGATGATCCATTGGAGGATTGGTAGAACCAAAACCTCATAACAATAAATCTCAAGGTTATTGGATCAAAGGTTTCAAATTAACATACTTGGACTTGCAAATATATGTTTGGGCCACGAATGATCATTTTCTCGAATTGGGACAAAATTTAGCGCTATATTAAGCAATCGTAAGTTGACTTATGTAGAAGTCGCACCTATTTTGAGGTCGGTCAATAGTAATCTATGTACTTCATGTTTGGATAAATGATATATAGATCATCATCCCATAACATGTAGTACAAATAAAAAAGAAAGGGATAAGATGAAGAGGGAGGGGAATGATAATCTAATTTGGATCATTACCTCAAATTTCTTTCATCTTTAAATTCAATCACTCATCTAGATGTATTAAAGTACTAAACATATCGTTAATCTAAAGCACCAAAAATGAATTGAATAATTCACTCTTTGGTAGATTTGAATTAATGAACATTTATCAAGCTTCATCTACATCCAAAGTTCATTGAATTTAAAGAGAAATTGGTCATTTAAAATTGCAATCCAAATCAACAATCAAAAGGAGTGAGTAGAAAAAGAGAGATGGATCAAAACAGCCCTAAAACAAGACAGAAAATACATTTTTGTTATGTTACAATCGATTGCACTACTGATGCAATCGATTGCATCAGTGTTTTCTTTAAAAAAATCGTGAAATTTTGCTGTGACAATCGATTGCACTATTACAACAATCGATTGCACCCTATTAAAATCAGAAAAACAACATTTCAAAAGGCTAAATTCTTGTTCAAACTTTTCATCAAACAACTTATGATCATGGATTCAATTGAGCATGAAAATTTCATCAAATTATGAGAAAATAGCACCAATGAAATCACAAAACAATGCTCCATGAATCAAACCCAAAGATCAACAAGATATCACATTATGAAAGATGAAAGATCCAACTTACCAAAGGTAGATCTAGAAAATTATCAAAAACAATTTCAAGAATTTGCTTCAATTCGGCCCCAAGAATCAATTTCCCAAGCTTAGATATAGATAATTAATGAAGAAAAAGTGTTTGGATGAAGGTTTAGCTCAAAGGTTAGTAAGCTTCAATGAAAAGCTTACTAACTTTTTTTTGAAAATGGAGATTTGAGTGAATTTGGTAGATGAAGAGAATTGAGAGATTTTTTAGCAAGGTGGATTTGACTATCAAAAGCTTGAGATTTGAATGAAATGAGGGCTCTATTTATAAAGTTTAGGCTTGAGATTAGTGGTGGTTTGATAATTAATTTTTGGAGCCAAAATTTGAAATAATGATATATTTTTCAAAAAATGAAAAATTGGAGCCAAAATTTGAATTAATGATATATCTTTCAAAAAATGAAAAATTGGAGTCAAAATTTGAATTAATGATATATCTTTCAAAAAATAAAGAAAAAAATTGGAGCCAAAATTGACAAGTTTGAAATTGCTGATTTTTTTATTTAAATTTCACTCTGTGCAATCGATTGCACTCTGGGAGCAATCGATTGTACAATGAATTTTTTTCAAATATTGCGCAAAATGCACTCTGTATAATCGATTGCACTCTAAGAGCAATCGATTGTACAGTGAAAAAAATGAATTTTTTAAATTAATTTTCTTTGCAAATAGAGATTTTAGGGAAATAATATCGAAAAATCTTATTTGTCAGATGCTTTGACTCGGTACCTACAAAACACAAATATACAAAGACAAAGACAAATATTTTTTTTGTATTTTGATTAGAAGTTAGTCAACAACACAAGAGCAAACTTAAAGATAAGATGCAAATGTGATGAATGAAGCTATTTATTAATGATTGTGACAAAATGACAAAATATGATATGAAAGTGCGACTGAAAAAGTTAGGGGCAAAATTTAAGATACAACAGAGTGTTAACAATTATTTGATTCAAAGATAAAATCATATGCACAATGTTGTACCCCAAAATTTGCCCTCCCATATTCTTCAAAATTTTGACAAGCATCATCTAAATTTGCTCAAGTCTACTCAAGGGTTACACAGTTCAAACATCCTCCTAAGCCAGTCAAAATTAGGGTTTTGGTTCTTGCAAGGAAGCTGAGGTTTTCAAGGGCTCAATCAAGTCCCATATGCAAGGCTCACAAGGTCAAGTTGCACAGTCAAAAGCCCTAATTGCTTCACAATCAACTGTAGGGGTAAAATGGTCATTTGGCAGTCAAAAGTCAAATTTTTTGGTCAACATCTTATTTTGAAGCCACAATCATCATTTGATCAAGTCTTGATCATGATTCCACAAGCATGGCTCAAAAATCATCAAGGTGTCAAAAGTTTCTATTTTTGGACAGCTGAAAAGTCAACTGTAACTTGACCAAGGCATAACTTTTTCATGGTTCATCAGAAAAATCCCATCCAATGCTCATTTTGAAGGGGATGACATTTCCTACAACTCATCTTCACATTCCAAGTCCAAGAAATGCTCTCACAAAAAGTTATCAATTTCAACATTATAGGTCATTTTCAAAAGTCAACAAAAAGGCATTTTAAGTAAAAGACCATAA